TGGTGACAGAGAAAAAAGTGTCACTCGAGGGATCCAATTCATTGCAACCAGACAAGAACAATTCCTCAAAGTTAATAATGTTTTTCTGTAGAAAGATTTAGAAAAGAAGTTCGTTATGGAATGGCTTATATTCATAAGAGTTTAGAATACAGTGTTATCCGAAGAAACTTTTTTCACTATCTAATTGAAACCGTGCATTACAGCCAAAGTCTTCATATAATGAGAAAAGTCGAGGTTAGGTCACCGTTTGACAGAGTTACATAGGTTTTTGTGCTCTTTTCAAAAGGTCCTCTTTACTGAACCAAGGTTTTCCCTGAGGGCTTTAAGCTTGTAGCCATAGAGGTTTGTTCCATAAAGGAATAGTCAGAGTCTCTGAAGGGTGAGGATTACAACCGGCTCTTGCACTGTCAAGAAAATAATATACCTTTGTATGCTACGTTTAAGTGGTTTTTCTGTGCTCCATTCACACGCGTGAGTGCTTACGTGAGATAGAATAAAGTATTGATCGGATTTTTACGCTCATCAATTAGGTAGCGGTATAAGGGAAACCTCTAACATAGGGCTCCATTCCACTCTCATAGATTCGGCGTATTCTGAAGAAACATGATGCTAAAGCAATCTAGAAACGAGGTTTTTGGTCCCAACGTTTCGATAAATATTATTTGGGTGTTTGAATCGTGAAGACCATTTCGGTTTGAACGTTGTTTGTAACAACCTGGGAAATACGTATCCACGCTAAGAGGAAAAGGCTGTGAGAGAATATTCGAAGGTTTAGTTTTATTTGCAAGGATCTTTCCCATGGATCTGACGCGGCGAAAAAGGGGCATGGAGAAGGCAAATCAAATCACTGCAGGTGGTTTGGGCGTAATTGAGTTTAAGAAATATCCCGGTCTGTACATCGCATTTTCTTATAAGAATTTCGTTCCCCTTGTGACATAAGGGCATAACATTTGATCGCAGTTATACTAGAGTCCCTAGAAACTTGTTTCAACTCTCATCCTAGCTTAATTTTAAATGTACTTTCATTATTTTTTAGATTTTTTATTACAAACCTTAAACCGTTTTGCTTCAGTGAGAAACTTTTAATATTTTTGCTTAGCAGAATATTGCCTTAGACATATCTCAAAATTATTTGAAATCATGGAGTCCAAATGAAGAGTTCTCTTTTTTCAAAAGTTCAACCCCGTTTAGTATCTGTAGTTTCTTTTTGGTGACCACCTTTGCTGATACGACTCCCTTCTTGGTAGGATCATCACCATCATTAGTTCTTTTGAAAATCTTGACTGATATGTGTTTTGCATTTTGAACGAGAAGTTCTGACCCTACATCTGTAAATTAACCTTGGGGAACAACCGATTTAGCTGGTCAGGCTGTCATGAGTTTTGTATGAGATTTCGCCTTCCTAGGTTTCGGTGCACCAGTTTGGGGTATTTGAGTTGGTTATGTTCTCAAAGATGGTGGAATTTGTGTTACTGAAGATAGGCACATTTTGATGTCCGATACTTGAAAGTCTTGGCAAAAAACAGATATTCTTTAGAAGCGGCCAGCTGACGAACAGGCTGTCCAGTTTGCATTTAAAATATATTCGATATTGTACATAGAAAGAGAGTTTAAATAAAGTATTTGTCGCAACTTATTCACCGCAGATATATTTTTATAGATGTTCCAGAGCGTACTGGCAAATGTGTACTCACAATTCCTTGCAGTAGTGAACTCTCTAAGGGTTCTCATCACCTTGCAAATGGGAAAAACAGGTATATCGTCAGACCATGAATTAAGTAGTATGAATCACCACAAAAGTCATGTATGCGGGACTAGATGGCTGGAAATATTATCTACACATTATGTCTGCGATCTTATTTTATAGAAATGTTTTGCATTAAGACGTTTTGTCAAATTCGACGAATGGCCAGAAAAAGTCCGTCACTGAGTGCCCCTAACGCCTACGTTCTGTTCGGGTGACGCAGTAAAAGTAACCGGCATGTTGTCGTTTCGTGCACCTGCTTTCAGAAGTTGCCTCTTTAAGATCCTACAATCAGTCAATAAATCTATTCTTAGGCCTCCAAGCTGCAACCCAAACACACCTAGCGGGCACTCTGTAGCACATGGGGCAATCGGCATGATGTGCAGATGGTTTAATGTGTTAGGAAATGTGATGATTTTAAAAAGCACTGGACATAACCATTTTGACAACCTAGTTATTTAATTCAAAAATGATAATTTTTCACTCCAAATAGACCTTCTGACTCATCACTGTAATCGTCATTAGCCGATACATAGTCGGTCTACATACTGAACTGCTCAGCAAGCCTTCTAAAATGGATTCACAATTACTGCGCAACTCCCCTTAGACATAACCAGGTGTTCCTAGCGTAGTTGTCACAAAGCCGTGATCAGCTTTGTCGATGCTTAACTTATAAACGTTCCTTTTTCCTATAGAGATAGGAGCGATGAGTTAGGATACCAAGTAGTAATGAAGCTACTAAGATTTTGCCGCCCTTTGCTTAACGCTATGTGATTAGCCATGGTTGGTAAGTCAATGGCTAGTCGACTTCAAAATGGTAACATTTGATGCCACTCGACGCAGGTTTACTGTGAGGAATTCGGCAAATCACAACAGCTCTTTTTTTCTGATCTTTGTGCGACATGATCTATCCCTCAGTTTAGTGACTTCCCATCGGCCTCAAAAAACTCCAGGACAGAGGCTTGTGCCTGATGAGCTGTCTAAACCACCGGGACCAAGCCGACAGGTGCCGGACTATATGCAACGTATGCACCATATAAACCGGAGAGTAGCTTGACACCTTTCTGAGGTACCTGTTCCTCACCTATAATTTGTCAGCTTTCCACCCCTCCTTGTTTTCCTCCAAGCATTTTTGTATTCCGTCAGTTGCCACATCAATATTTGGCAACGTAAGAATTGTCTATTCATAATCCATTTCAAGCTTGCCAGATGTATGGAACAAATCCTGCATAACCAGGGGTTTGCCTCGTTTATTCACAGTGAAAAGTCGGGAGAAGTTTTCCTACAGAGTAACTGAAATACCAAAGAGAAAATTAGTCGGCTGTGGTATACAGAGTCTTTAAAGAACAAAGATGTTTAAAATACTGAGATTTTCACAGCACTGGAAGTATTCATTAACATAATTCTTGAAGTTTTTTTTAACCCAGGTTACTTTTTATTGGTTATTCGACTCTATGAACGCTTCCAGCTTGCCTTATAACTCTCAACAGATGATCGGGGTTACGGCCAAGTACACTCACCAAGGAGCGTGCGCATGTACAAGCGGCACAAGGGTATCGGTGGACAAGGTTTTGTTGTGCATAGTTGCAGGGCTTGTTTTATTTGTATTCGTATAATTTTTTACTTTAAAAGTGTTTTCTCTGTATTCGATTAGCTATTCTAGTAATTCTACGCTAGAGAATACATACGAAGTTTCGGATCTTCCTCATTTCAACACATCAGCGTAATGTTTTGTTGAAGAGTTTTCAGCAACCTTCTGACAGTTCCCCCCCATAAAATTATGCTGCGACATCTCGAATATCGTACCAACTAAAGCCTGAAGTGGTCTTGGTGCAGTACAGTTAGAGAATATCATAAATGAGAGATTTAGCTAAGCCTCTCGTGAAAGCCTAGTTGATATGCGAATGAGTGTATTTGTCGAGAACCATCATTCATTCGTCAGGTAGAATATTTTTCGACTGATCGTTTACATTAGTCCAATGCCTGACCAGTTTCTTGATGGAAGTATTTGGGAAGTTCTCAATTATGGATATAAATAACAGTCCTGCTGGCCTCATGGTACAAATGAATGATTCTTGCCAACAAAATGTTATGTTCATGACGCCATAGGTGGTTCTGTCTTCACCGAATAATGATTGACAACAGCCCTATCGTACACCCGCGAACAGTTATCTCCAAGCCGCCTGCTGTGTTACTGCATAGCTAAAGTATGCTAAGGAATTTCTCAGTATCTGGAGGAAAAATTCGTTTCCGAAATCAGAGAGAATGTAAATTGTGGAACAGAGTCGGACGAGTGAATTCTATCTTTAGTGCTGCTAAATATGGGTGGGGTTTGCAGCACCAACTGGCATTGGTCAGACCTTAGAAAAATAAAGAAGATCGAGACCAATAACGAGTTTAGAAGCCTGAGGTAGAATTTTATAGAAGTAAACTAATGGAATGTTGGAGAGTACATTCTTGGACCAGTCTGTCATCGGATGGAATACAGCTTCATCAAATTCTGACGTATTCGAGACGTACATTGAATGTAGTGCAGTAAGTAACTCGTTTGAAATATCAAGGTCGACAGCGTCATGTGACTAACTATCCACCTGATGAGTCATGCTCTTGACGATAGCCTCTTGCCTTTCTAAATACTGGATAGCCAGTGAGATCAAGTCATTTTTATCACCGTCATTTGAGACGGCGGTTCAACTTCTGGGCAAAAGAGATCACCTTATGCGTTTTGCCTATTCTTCTAAGGCCTCCAGTCACATGATCGCTCAAGCACTGGTTGGTTTTGCCAACATCGTACTTCGATAAGATGTACTTGTTAATCTTATTCACATATTTGCTTACCGATGAGCAGTCAGGTTATGTCATCTAACCAGACATTGATCTTTACCAACGACCGGGTAAGTACCGACCCCGGGGCCTCAGCGTTTACTAGATGTCACTAGGAAATGTGAGCAAAACACTCATCAGTGTGCCGGTAGTCAGATATTTTAAATAAAGCTTCAGCTGGATGAACCGATAATCACATTTGTTTTCTATCATTCTTATCACTTCTGGTAAGCCTGAGATTTCTGTTTGCATCCTGGAACTCTCAATATGCTCAAAGAGATGTAATTTGCTGCTGAATTGCCTAAAGCATCAGTCTATATTTGGAAAAGCAACTTCCTGTATCACCACTTCTTGTATCAGGTTTATAAATAATATACCTGTATATCCTGTGTCACAGTAAACTCTCACTTTGTTCCCTTTTTGACCCTCGCAGAATGTCTGGTCTCTCATGGAATTCGCAACATTTTTGACCTGAGACGAGACGGAATCAGTTTTCCCAAGCGCCCGGAATTCTTTGTCCTCATATGTTCCAGTCTTCCTCTAGTTTTCACAGTTCTCACTCGATCCCTGTTCACTCCACTGTCTGTTGGACACGATATGTTTATTCGCGGTTGGGGCTTGGCACAAACCAGGTTATTCTTGGATTTATTTACTCGCACGGCTACGGTTTATCATCTTGTTTATTGGGTCTACCGAACTCCCATTATCCACCTGCTATGGCAAATCAAAGTGACCATAGATGGTTTGGTGAACGCGTGGAAAAATCGTCCGAAACCAGAGAAGAAACCAGTACCCGATAAGAAACCGAAACTGATTCTTACAAGCCGACCGAAACGTGCCACACCAACACAAGCTCGCCGTACCGGGCGCACAACAGAACATGGTTACGGGAGAAAGAGGCATCGATCTAAATCACTACGTAGCAATCGATCAAACGGAAAATCTTCAACTACGGCATCACAAAGTGGGGGAGATCAGCAGCCGCCGAATTCATTGATGAATACAACACAATCCACCCATGTGATCAATGCAGGTGGCGTTAACCTTATCTCCGCACAACCCTTGTTCACCGATCAACCTCAGCTTATGGCTTCCTACACCATGGGAATGGTGCCTATTGCGAACGTTCCCGGGGCGTTATACGGACAAATCCCAGGGGGTGCGGTGACGAACTATCCAAACAACTTCAACATGTATGGCCCAATGGGCGAGGGTCAACCAGGTGCATTTGGGGCAACAGTGGGCTACGGAATGAATTTCGGTATGTCTCCCCTAGGCATGAATATGACTCAACCGGGTATGATGGTTCAGAACTACTCACAACAGAGCTCAGTCTACGGTTTGGCTCAAAGCGTTATGGGTGGAGATCCTTCTATGGGGATCAGTCCATCTGGTACAGAAACTTCAAACCTGATAGAAACCGGAGGTTCAGAACTTCAAACCAAACCTTTGAAGCAGAAAAAAGAGCCTGTTATAATCCCACCGCCAACAAGATTGTTTTGTTCCACTTGCAAACGCATCATCCCCGGATGCATATATCTAATTTCTTTCTGTGCCACACTTCCTTCAGTTTTTGCATTTGAAGAGGTGCAAGAAACTTTGTTCAAGGTTGCACGTTGTACACCCAGCTGTCGATCCTATTTCTACTACGACCTGGTCGTGATTGTCACTGTACCGACAATCATGGTGATCGTCGCCTTTTACCATGCTGCTCTGTCAAGAAAACAGCTCAACGGTGGAGTGAAAATGTCCTATCGTCTGAGGTGTTACTATGTCACATTTATTCTCCTAAACATACCAATGTTTGTACTCATGCTCACTTCCATTGCTTTTACTGTGAAGAATATGGTGTCAGAACTATACGGAAGTGGGATAGTGATTGCCATGACAGCATATCACGCAAACTTTGCGCTCAAGTCCACCGTCTACACTACAGGCTGCAACTGTATTTGTTGCACAGACGCGTGCATCCAAAGATTTTCCATCATTAATCGTTTCCTCACCTTCTTTACCACACCAGTAGCTTTCAAGGATAAAGAAGCTCTGCTCGAAGGGACCGTGATTCCGGTCAGTTCGGATAAGGAGACGAAGATGTCGCCGAGGTCAGTGGACTAAAATGACATCAATTCACAATGTTTACCCAGTTTATTGTTTTGTTTGCAAGGTAGACCAAAGATGTAATCTTCCGTTGGTCCATTAACATTGCTCTATCTCGTTCTTCCAGTCCAACCGTGAAAAATTCACACTGAACTGCAAATATTCATTGTTTAATTCGATTCAAATAAAAAGATTCATGGAAAGTCATAGCTGTTTATTGCAGCTTGGGACACGCTCTCTCTGTTGCTATGTACTTACAATATGCATGAATTCGTCAGCCAGTATGCCATAGAAAGATCGGGATGTCTTTCCTTCTAGATAACGCAGTTCAGAACACCACCACAAGCAATATGTTGATCGGACTCAGTACCCCTGAAGTCTCAAACTAGCGAAATTCTCGCCCTGCTGGCGAACACAGTGAATGTGTCGGAAGCTAAACTACGAATAAAAAGTAGTCCGAATCTAGGCAGAACTTCAGATCGTCAGAAACCCGAGGACAACTCCTCCCAGAAGAGAACTGAGAATGATGAAACTGGAAGTAAGCCACCTAAGGGTTTTCAAAAACCTTATAAACAGTGGTGGTATGCAAACTGGGCTTTTTAAGCTCCCGGTGCGCGAAAAAATGATTAATGTATGTTTTGTGTTTATATTCAAATATGCAATCAAGTAGTAGAACGTGGTGAATTTGAGAATCACGATTCAATGGGTGTTGAGGTCTGATTGCCGCTTATCAGGCACGAACATCCGTGTCAGACACAAGGCCATCAGCATCGCCAACAGAAATACACAGGATCTTAAATAGTATACACCTACTACTACGGAGGTTCTAGTAAAAAGTGCAAAGTGGAGGGTAGTGATTTAGTGTAAACGCTCACGCACAAGGTGGCTACAGTTGAAACAAGAGACAAAAGCAGCCGAGCAGCATATCAAAGTAAAGTGCCGCTTTTGTGGCTGACTGGATATCTTACGCCAGCCCCACCAAACACTTTGGCCTTACAGCCTTGGAAGTAACGGCACACCATTCAATGGCTCCTGTAAGGGCTCTAAATTAATGCAAGCAGAATCACTCAGGAATCCGCGAATGTCTCAGTGCGCTCAAACTGCCAAGGTTCACCCTCATTTCGAGCTTCCATGTCATGAACAGAGGTTTGATTACTGAGTGACCCCAGTTGTCTGGAAAACTTTCTTATTCCCAAATAACTTCAGGCATCCTAGTCAGAGAGACACTTTAGGTGGCGTCGATAGATGCTCGATGGCGAATCAAAGCAAAAGGCTCATTATTACTTCCTCTGAACTCACAGACCAGAGCTTGTGTTTGGCAGGCTAAATAATGGGACATAAAAACCGATGACCAATCGAACTTGTTGAACTATCTTGCTTTGGGCTTCAACTTTTATTACGTTAGATTTATAATGTTGTCGTCGATTTGTCCACAGCCGGACGGTCCAGTTTTCCGGATTAGCTTAAACGTGTATTCCCGGCTACACTGGCCCTTCGTGACTTTTCTCGTTTAAGCATGCTTTCCTGTCCACCTAGGGGCTTCATCTGAGCTGACGGTATCAGACTATCCCATCCACACTTTCTCCGTCTTGTGTAATGTTGTTCCATCATTCTGTACCGGACAAAATGTCACTAGCGCAAATGCGGAGAGTGATGTTTGCTGTCTGGAAGTTGTACGTGCGTTCAGGTCCGGTAAACTAGAGCCAAAGTGCTCCTACTTCAATTGAGTAAATATCTAGAGTTTGGAAGCATCTTCCGAAAGCTCCAAGTAACAATCGAATGGGTAGTTCTCCAGTGTAAACGCGATAATTGCTCCTTGCTAGTTCAATGACATGGGTTGACATCGTAGAACAAACCAGATGGAGATGAAAGCCATGAAGATGAACCAATTCAATCGGTCAACAATGTCTGCTGCAGCCTAGCTCGTCCGTGTACTTCAGGCTAAAAAACAAGAACAAATAAAATACATGATATTTTTTTCATAAAATAATTTGTTTAATCCTCCCTTGCGTAGCTTTGCAAGTATCACACACTTACCTTTGGGAAGGTGGTTAGTTACGTCGTATACACTTTGCAACATCAGTTTTTATTCGAACTTTTCCTTACCAGTCGCCATCGATATTTCGGCCACATTTGCTTTCACATAAAACCTCGTTAGCGTTAGCTTAGTTCTTTATCTATCTTGTCCTCGGCCAGTTGGAGCTTCAACCAATTAACTCGAGCACTCATCATCATTCACCTGGTTACGAAGTTTACTGTCACAGTCCATCGATTTTTTTGGCTGCTGCTGCGCGCCAGCTGCTGACCTTGTCAGACATTTTGATTGATGGTGGTTAGTCAGATTATTTCGCCTAAAACCTCAGTGATACTCGTGAAAGACATGCTTAACAAATCATCGGCTGTTGGGTTGTTCGCCCAGCTTGGCAGTTGGATTGAAAAAGTTTCATCACCATTCGAGGTCACATCATCAGTGTGTCGTCTACCACACACCGCCGTCAGGTACGAACCACGAACCATCCGGTCAGTACAATCGCGCCCAAAACCACCGAGCCATCTAGCTCCATATTCTATGTTAAATTGGATACCAGGCATTTCTTAATGAAACCTTGCTTTCCCTATCCGTCGATGTATGCCGTGTCGCCACTTCGGTCGCTTAGGAAAAGCGCAGTCCCAAGTTTCACTCTCTGGGTATCCGGTTAGCCTGATGCAATGGCCCATGGTGCAAATTGCACTCGGTTCCGAGTATGAAAACAACTTACTGAATTGGATCCCAGTAATCAGACTTCTTTGAACTGTGCAGTTTTCTGGCTCGGTTATGATCAATGCAGATCGATGCGGTAGGCGGTGTTTATTTGTCGTATCAGCATACGCTCCAACAGACCGTAGTTCAGATACTGAGAAGGACTAGTTTTATCAACATCTGTCGCGACTGCTTCGGTCATCAGAAGAACGGATATAGTAACCCTGGTGGGTGATATACATGCTCACTTTGGACGAATAAGCCCGGAAGAAGCACAGATAGAGTCGATGCTGGGCGTACGGATAATGGGGAGCGACTGCCTCCGTTGTGTGCAGATCATCGTCCGTTCCTAGCGAGTACGAACTTCCAACAAAACGCTCACATCGAGTTACCATAGGACAAACATGGACTCAACCGGACCATGTGGCTACAAGGTAACGATGGAGAGCCTCAACTTGACTCTGATCATGCCATTGTGCGAACCCGGTTATCATCTAATTTTCAGTCAATATTGCACGTGCCAAAACAGGGAAGTTCCATTCATCAGCTTAGACAAGTTTCAGTAGCTCAAGAGTGTCTAGTTGACCAGACTAGAGGGCTATGGAAAACGCACAGTCCTGCAGATGACAAGGATTGCTTGGAGGTTGAATAGAAGCCGTTTTTAAAACTATGACCTCAGCTTTCAGAGCTTTTTGTCCAAGCCACGTGACTCACCAAATGAACACTGGATATCATCGAGATCACCAGATCTTATTGCACTCAGAACGGACATACCAGCAACTAGCGGCTATGACGACGCAAGCAGATCCCTCAACTACCGGACAATCAGGAACTTGAAGAATTACAAGCGACCCTGATGGATTTGAAAGACCCAGGAAATGGGGAAGGCTTTTGTTGCAGGCAACAACCATGCCCCACCTCAGCAGATTCAATCAACTGTTCAAAAGTAGCCGGGTGCCAGGGAAACGATATGCGAAAAAGACGGAACGGTAATTCACTCCTGATTAACAGTCTGACAACCCCACTGCAGAATACTTGGAACGAAAACAGAATAGCAACCGAATATTGCTCTTGGACCGTCATCCCAGTTTTAAAACAGGCACAAGAACGTCATCCAAAAACTGTCGTGGCATCAGTCGGATATCTGTCCCAGCTAAAGTGTTCTCTGGCATTATTTGGCGCAGGTTGGTCGATTGTGGGGGGGGGTAGTTGAAGAAAAATTGGTGAGAATCATGCTAGGACACCAACCAATATTTACGCTGAGGTAAATCGTTGAACAGTACCACTCCTTCAAACGTTCCACGCTGGTTTTCTTTCTTGATATAAATCCGCTTCTGATTCTGTCAATCGTCAGAAACTTTGGCGCTGCCTGGCAGTCGGTGTTCCTTCCAAATTTATATCCCTTGTGAGGGCTCCGTATGCGAAATCTGGTGGGCGCATTCGAGCATAGGGAAAGTTATCGCCCAAGTTCTTCATGTCAGTCAATTAAAGAACAATCAATTTCTTCAGAATCAAGCTGGGTTTAACCTGGCGGAGTTCGCGTCTACCATATCTGTACCTTGGGAGCGATTATTGAACAGCATCATTCTTTCAAACGTCCCACTTTAGTCATTTTTCTTTTTCTGAAAGCTGCTTTGACTATGTAGATTATCGGAAACCTTGGCAGCGTCTGACGGCGTCGCTCCCAAATTTATATCCTTTATGGGAACACTGTATGCGAACTCCTGTTTGCATGCGGCAAGCTTTCACCTGAATTCTCTACGTCGAGCGGTGTAGGACAAGGCTGCCCTCTCTCACCTTTTCTCTCCAATTTCGTTACTTATCTGTTGCCTAAAATTTCTCTGAAACTCTCTGAAACTACAAAGATGGAGATGCTCCTGGCAATTTCCCTCATACTACACTGAATATGCCGACGATACCGCTTTCTTTAGTCCCGCTGAACAGTCTGGCAACCAGAAGGCTTGGAAAGAAAACAGAATATCAACTGAATATTGTTTCTGGACCGTCATTACAGCTTTCAGAAAATGGCTCAAGCACATCGTACAAAAATTGTGGCATTAACCCGGCCTCCGTCGCATCGAAGGTGCTCTCTGGCATTATCGATTTTTGGGAGATAGATCCGGGGGATAGACTTGTGAGAATCTAGTTGGGGTGCACCCTGGTCGAGGACCACGTCTTTATTTTCAGACAAATTCATGAACAGCTAGACTACTTCAAACGTCTCACGTTGGTCGTGTTTCTTGGTCTTAAGGTTGCTATTGAATATATTTTTCATCAGAAACGCTGACAACGTCTGATGTACAGAGTTGTCGTTTCCAGATTTATATCCCTTGTGAGGTCTTTGTATACGAACTAGTTTAAGTGTTTACGAGTGTACGGCATGCCTCCGCCCGAGTTCACCACGTTCATTTGCGGGAC